AATTTTCTAATTGTTTCGCATTATTGCGAAAATTTTCTAATTATTTTGCATTATTGCAAAAATTTGCTAATAATTTCACAATATTGCAAAATTTTTTCGATTATTTTGCAATATTGTGAAATTTTTTTATTTCGAAAGAATTTCGTGTCAATCGCAGTTATTTCTAAAGATTTTCAGTATTCAAAATCTTTCGCAATATTTTGCTTATATTTTTTGCTGATGTAATATCAATATTCATCAAGTTCTTTTATATCTTTTTAATTCTTTGCAAGATGAATATTAATGTTTTTGCAGAATTCTAAATAATTTTTTGTGCCATTATAGCATATTTGTAAACTATCACAAAATTTGAAAAAGTTAAATCAATTTAATGTAACTTTACGTTACATATCAATATGAGCTAAAGTTATTAGGGAGTGTCATTTATTACATAATATCCTTTTATTAGACTCCCTCTCTCCCAGTAATCGAATTAGTATCAATTATAAATTTTATATATAATATATAGACATGATATGGCTGTTAACCTCTCCCACCTTTCTTAAAATTATATAATAAACAGCACTTCCCTTATAGTAATTATGAAATATGTCCTGATTTAAATTATATCTTAAATCTAATGTCTAACACATCTTCCTATCATTTCACTCATCTTTCCACTTAATTTCCTTAATTCAACAAATGCACTATAATGTTAAAATGTTATATTCTTGAAAAAAGTTAAAATAAATTACCTTAACAACTTATTTATATAAACCGATTAGACAAGAGCTCCTGTAACAAATATAGATCTTGAGATAAATATGAGTTTTTCTTAAAGAATTATGCATATACATGTGTATTTATAAGCATGACATTAATTTATACTTTCATAAAGCTAATCTGAAATTAGATACTGTATTAGAAGAAACTTTTATAGCTAAATGATGCCTAACCATTGCTGCTTAGTATTAAAAATAATATAAAAACAATATAATAATAACGATTGGGCATCATTTTGCAGCAAAATTGTGAATTGTTTTTATATAAATTGCCAAAATTTTCACAAAGGCATAAAATAAAACATACTGTAATTAATACAACTTTATATTAAATCAATTAAAAAAAAATTAACTTAACAGTTTTCATAAAATGTCCTCAAAAAAAGAAAATGTAGCATTAACTAAAGCCCAAAAAGTTGCACTTTGTGTTTATGCCTAAGAAAATAAAATGACAGGAGCTAAATATGTTGACTGGATTGAAAAGCAATGGGGCATTAGGGTCGATGAAAGTACAATTTCTCGAATTTTAAAAACTAGTGACAAACAACTTACTATCGAAGTTCTTAACCCTAATGCTAAACGACACAGATCTGTTACTGTTCCAGAAGTTGAGATTGTGCTTAAAGAATTTGTCCTAATCTATTAACATCAAACAATTTTAAGCAATCTTATGCTTATTGAAAAAGCCAAAGCCCTTGCTAATGGATTAGGAGTTTTACCAAAAACATTACAATTTTCTCATAGTTGGTTGCAAAAATTTAAAGAAAAAAATGATATCCGCCAAATAAAACTTCAAGGTGAAGCTGCATCAGCAGATAATGATGCCATTGCTAACATATTACTATTACTAAAATCCAAGTTCAAAAATTATTCACTTGATAAAATCTACAACATGAACAAAACTGGTCTTTTTTATCAATTAGAACCTGATCGAACACTAGCAACTCAACGTATCGCTAGATGGAAGGTTAATAAAGAGCATCTTTCAATCGCATTATGTTCGAATGCTAATGGGTCACATAAACTAAACCTACTGATTATTAGTAAATATGCGAAACCATGTTGCTTTAAAAATATAAATGTCAGTAGTATGCCAATTATGTATAGAAATAACACCAAAGCTTGGATGCTTATTACTCTTTTTCAAGAATGGCTCCAAGAATTCAATTTTCAAATTGTCAAAAAACACCATGGTCAATGTGTGCTCTTAATTTTAGACCAATGCTCTAGTCATAAAACTGATAATTTAAACTTAAGACATGTTGAAGTTCAATTTTTACTCTCTAATACAACATCAAAGATTCAATCTCTGGATGCTAGGGTTATCATGAGTTTTAAACATCACTATCATCGTTTACAAATAAACTGGATGCTATAGCAAGTTAAAGCTGAAGAATGGGCAGAAGACTTAAAAATGAATGTTTTGCAAGCTATTTAATTTATAATTCAAAGCTGGGAAGAAGTAAATCCTAAAACTATATATAACTATTGGAAACATACTAATATTCTTCCCACCACTTATAATGCAGATCTACAAAATCTTTCTGAGAATATTCCTCAAGACAGTGCTGAACTTGACGATCTTTCTGAAATGGTTAAGAATATTAATTTTTCTGACCCTATGCATATTGAAGAGTTTCTAACTATTCCAGAAGAAAAGATTACTTACGAAATTCCTGAAAATATAAGGTCATTAAAGAACTTGTAGAAATATTCAAGGATAAATGTAATTCAGAATATTCTGATCCTGATAAAATAGATGACAGCTTAGAGATTCCTATAGTTATATCTAATAAAGCATTTAAAGGTTTAGAGACCATTCATCTATATTTACTCCAACATGAAAACAATAGCAAACATTTGAAGTTAATTCATAAAATTAAAAAAGTTATTAGAAAAAAAAAATAAATGCATTGCAGCAAACTACAATTGACAGTTATTTCAATTAAATACTGTACTTATCTTCTATGACATCAGTAAAGATATTAAATATTTCTTTTAATAAATTAGATAAATTTAATATTTTAATAAATAAATGAATAGTAGTTGAGTAAAAAATACTTGTTTTACAAACATTAGTTCAATTCAAATGCAAGATTAACCTCTTTTGATCAATTAACTGAATCATAACTAGATCACAACAATGAGTATAGGTAATATAAAAGTTAAAGATCTTTTCTATTCATATTCTTCATTTTTGTACTTTTGGTTTGAAACTACTACAATTATTTGTTACTGTATAAGTATTACATGCACATGTATACTATCAGTTATCTGTTATATATTGCTTTAACATGTGATATATAAATAAGATAATTGGCTGTATTTCATGTAATAGTTTGATAACTATATACATATGGCTCTCTAAATGCATATCTTCTCTAAATGCACAGTTGAATCCAGTCTCTAGAGCATGCATTTAGAAAGGTCCAACTGTATTAAGTTTTGTTTAAAATAGATAAAACAAAAACAGATTTGTGTAAATTAGTTAGTAATCTTAATTAGTAATAGTGATATACAGATCTGAGATGCCCTAGAGGATTAGAGTCCTTCAAAAAAAAAAAAAATTTTTTTCTCAAATTTTAGAAAAAATTTGTAAAAGAGTTTTAATATATTTTCCAATAAAGCTGTCAGTTTTTAACTATATAGAAAGTATAATATATCAAAATGAAAATAAAGTTGTGCTAAATCTTTTTGTTTTAAGTAGCTACTATGTTTTACTTAGTAAAATAATAAGTATTTAGTAAAAAAAGAAATTTATTTAATTTGATTATATCTTAGTGAAAAACACTTTTAGAGATATAGGAATAGGCTGCTTATATATAAAATCTTATGAAAAACAAAATTTTTTTTCCTTCTTCTACTATTCTAAAGGTCTTTAGACACCTTTTAGAATCTTTCATATCTCTTTAAAGACCAGAGTTATCATTTAACAAAGATTGTCAAACAGTATGTGGCTACCATATTCATTATCATACTTGTAAAGATAGCTCATGCTCTGTTAAGTCTATTATATAATGTTTCAGGTCTCTGGCTTCACAGTGTAGGACCTACTATCTTTTTATTCAGTCTGCAGTTCTCTAATTTCACATGACCCACCAGTTGGATTATCCTTTATATCTAATATTCTTTAATTCTTTTAGTTAAGTTTTCTTAATGTTAACATTATTTGTTGACAGATTTATCTTTTCTGGTTATCTCCGATTCTGTGGCTATGCTAGTGGACTACATTCTAATATATGAATCTTATTCTTTTTTTCAATAATAAATCCTCTGAAGAACTTCCAATCATGGTTCTGGCAAAGTTGTTGTTACTCAGTAAAATTCAAACTTGTAACCTTGAGATTGTGACTTAGAAGTACTAACCATTACACTATTGACCTATAGGTCTGAAGAACAATTTTATTTAAGTAGTCAAGATAGGTTTACTTAATAATAATTTGAGAAAAGAGCAATTTTGTTTAAAAAAAATTTGGTATAAGTGATTATCAGAAAGAGTTAGTAATTTGTATTCCAACTATAAATTAAATTAAAAGATTTGAACTAAAATAAAACTAATACTATAATTATTTGTAGTAAAAACTTATACAATTAGATCTTATTATGATCACTCTTGATATAGTCACAACCTTGATATAGTTATTTTGTTTTTGTTTCTAGCTTATATAAAACATATAAATTTTGATCTTCATATAGTCACAACTTTTTATAATCACTAATTTTTTGTTTTCTAGTCTGATGATTATATCAAGATCTAACTGTAATTAAATACATTAAATAAAATTAGTTTAGTTATATTTAAGAATAATTAACAAATATATATCTGTATTTATTTTTTTTATTTTATTTTTTATATATTAAACTAGTTTTTTTTGGAGCTAAAGCCTTTTATTTAGTAATTAGAATATAGAAACTCATGACCAAGACCTCAAAGAAGACATCTTTATATTAAAAAGTACAACTAGTTATATGTATATTTTTGGTATCTAATTTAAGTAGTCTGCTGATAGTTTTATACTAGCTGTCATACCTGCAATTCAACTAGAGACATTGCTTATTTAAACTCTCTGTATTGCAATTCTTACTGTGTTACTAGATTATTTCCAATATACATATTAGTTAAGAAGGTCTAGATGCTTATTTGTACTTTTAGAACCTTATACTTTATTTCATGCAATGTATTCTTAGAAACATTATTATTAGAGCTTTTTATATTCTATATATAGCTAATCTAGTTTTATATAATATACTATAATTATTTAACACTTGCAATTAGGACTAACCTTAAACTGCTATATTATACTATTTCTATTCTTGTAAAGTTTATCTAAACCCTAATATCTATCTTTCTAATATTTTTATTATCAATCTTTATTAATTGCAATTTAAAACTAACAAACTCTTCAAACTTTTAATTCAAATGGTCTAATATGATATACTTTAGTATTTTTTTTTTATAGCAATTTTAGTAACCTGATTAGTCATATGCTCTTTTATATATCTTTGTTATTTGATTTATCTGTCTATTCTTATGAAGATGTTTTGTAAACTTCCATTAGTCTAACAGTATTGTTAAAAGTTTGTGCTATCTTTTTACTTAAAAATTTTCAAGTAAGATTCTGTCTTCTCAGTTCCTTAGTCTTCTGCATTTAGTGGTCTTATTATAGGTTTGCACTGAAGTCTTATACAACACTGATTATTAGTATTCCTCTATATATATATAATGTTACACTTTGTATAGATATCCAAGTTTACAATAATAAATAAAACTCAACTTAATATATCTGGATTACAGCTACAAAAAGCTAACTGATTAATAGAAGACAGTTTCTGTAAACAGATTAATTTTTAAATTTTGTTGTAGATAAAATTTGAATCTTAGACTTGCTATTTAGAAAATAACAACCTAATCATTACACTAGGATTATTATTCTTATTTTTATATTTATTAATTAAACTAATAAAAAATTATAATATATAAATTTTTATATTTTTATTATTTATAATTATATATAATACAAAAAATTTAGATACTATTTATTATTTTCTATTGTTTAAGCTATTTTATTTGTACTTGGTTTTCTTTTAATAATATATTTCAAATATTGTATATAAATTAAAATATGCAAACTTGGTACTAAAAAAAAAAAAAATTTAACAAAAAAATAATAAATAAAAAAATTAATTATCTTAAAAAGTATTAATCAGAATTATATAATTTTGATATTATTTGATTTATTTCATTAAAATAAATTAAATGATATCAAAATTATATATATATATTTTTTATATATTAAAATAAGTATTTGTAATCTAGAATTTTATTAATAATATATTTAGCTAATAATTGTATTACAATTACAGATAACAATTATAAAAAAAATATATAACTAGCTACTTATACAACTTTAGTTATTGTCTAATTTAAGTAGTTTATCTGAAAGTTCTACACTAGCTGTCATACCTGAAACCTGCTTGCAAATTTTCTATTTAAATACTTTAGTTTCTATATTTATTAGTTTATCTACAGCTATTAACAACTCTAATTAATATTAATAAAAATATACCATAGTTACTAAGATTTTAAAGCAGTTTATTCATATAAGAAATTTTTAACCTTGTACTAAACTTTTTAGAATTTTTTGTATTCTATTTTTATAATTAACTTAGTAACATTATAACTAAAATTAACACTTGTAGTCAAGACATATTATTAAACTATTATACTTTTTATAGAGTTTATTTCAACTTTGGTACTTATTTTACAACATATTTTTACTACTTTAATATTTAATTCAAGTTTTATCAAGCTTTTAGTTCAAATAGCTTAGAAAATTAAATACAACTATATTTTTAGTTTATATATTCTTTAACATATAATCTTTTTTTTATATATTCTTTTCAGGATTTTGGCAACCTAGTTGGTTACAATAACTCTTTTCTAAAGACTAACTTGTCTTTATTTAGCTTTATAAGTTTTAGCTCTATTTTATAGATTTAGTCTTTATAGTAGTACTGTTAAAAGTTTAGACTATTTCTCTAATCAGATCTTTTAAATAGTTTTCATTTTTCTGGTTTCTGTAATCTACATGATTATAAGGACTTATTATGAGTTTATACTGCCTTGTGTTTTTTTATACAAGATACAACTATTGTACAAATGCTATATAATCTTTCAGTTATGTTAGTATAATACAAATAACAGGTATCTTATTTTAACTAATAGCAAAAGACAGTTAATCATAACACAGAAAAAATTTTAAATTTTTGTTAACACTAAGATTTAAATTTTAGATCAGCTACTTGAAGATTGACAACATAATCACTTTGCTATATTACTATGTCTTTTCAAAATTATATATTCTAATTAATAATTTTAATTAATATATTGTATTAAAATTATATAATTTTAATTGATACTTTATAAAATAATTAATTTTTTATATTATTATTTTTGTTAAATTTGTTTCTTTTTTTAATATTAAGCTTATATTATTAATTTTTATAAAGTATTATTAGCATAATAAATTAGAATATAATAAAACTATAAATAATAAAAAATATAATTTTACTATAATTTTATTATAAATATAGGCAATATTGTTAATAAACAGCTTTGAACATAAGTTTGAACACTTTTGAACAAAAATATAAATTAAAATTATTTACTATTTTGTTAAGATAATCTATATACTTTTTTAAATAAAA